ACATTGAAGGGGTCTTCCACGATCAGGCACAAAACCAATGCACCCGGGTTAGCCACGCGATCTCTGACGGGTCTCTCTACAAAACCGGTGACGACGTCATCACACAAAACTAACACGTAGTCAGAAAAAAAACGAAAAAAATTGACAACACAGATAGAAATGTTTGTCCGTGCGCCACGGGTCGATGTCGCCCGCATGCTCCGGTGCCACTGCTCCATCCGGCGCCGCTGTGTGCTTTTATTATTAGCATCGACCGCGCTAACCAGCTGACCAATGAAAAGACGTCAGTCTTAGTGCGGTTGAAAACACAAAACACTTGTGTGTGTGTGTGAAGACGTCACTGGTTTTGTAGAGAGACGCGGCAGAGATGGCGCGGATAACCCGGGTGCCTTAATTGTGTACCTGCATCGTGGAAGACCCCTTCAATGTGGAACGATTCCTAGTCAGTGTCGATGTTTACACTGCTGTGCCTAACACTCAACACAGATGATCTGGATAGATTCGGGTGATTGTCAATTGCAATGATGGGTTTGGTTGGGTGTTCTTCTTCATTGTATGTCCACGGGCTCATTCTGACAGCACTGCAGACAGCAGCTCCATGCCCCGAGCTTCAGGGTACCATGCACCATGGTGTTCTTATTGCACAGACAGCACTTCAGACAGCAGTACGCTGTAGTCGACAAACATTCATTTTGGTTAAATGCGGGACAAGGGGGGTGATGCTGCTGCTGTTGTCGATTTGTAGTGTGTGGACGTGTAGTTCAGTTGTGAACACGCAAACGTGCTGCAGGGATTGCAGGTGTACCTCCTCGGGCTTGCGTGCCCTGTCCTTGCTAATAGTGTGTGTGTTCTTCTTCAGATCTTCTGATGGCTCTAGCATTTTTGTGACCTCGGACCGAGTCTTTCTTTGCTAGATTTTGGGATTAGCAGCTGACACGAGTTAATGTCAAGAAAAACAACAACAACAAAGTATACACACGACACGTGCGCGAGGAAGGTCGTTGCTTTGGTGCAAATATTTACTGGCAACCAAACAAACATGTGTGGGCAACATCGGAAATTTAGCAGCAAATGAAGCACAATAGCTAACCAAAGCCATTTTTGATCATAATTCGAAAAGCTAATAGATAGATATGGTCGTATATTTGTAGTTTGTCGTCGTTTTGGGAGCAGTAGGGGGAGAAGAGGCAGGAGTGCAGGAGCCCGCTCAGTCCGCTTGGAGTTGAAATTGCTAGCTCGCCCGCGGGGTCAAAAAGTTAAAGATTCAAAAATTCCTTCTGGGAGATAAACAAGCAAGGACCAGACGGCGGCGCCTTTCTGCTTGCAAACAATACGCGCTGCTGATGGGGGGTAGACCTGCTGTGCTCCTTCGAAGCCCCTTTTGGCTGTTGGCGATTGGCGCCCGGGAATCTGCCCTCGAGGGATGATAATTCTCCTGCCCTAAGAACGCGTCCGGAACCACCCTTCATGGAACCACATCACAGGCAGGACGCCTATGGACAGGGATGATTTTTGTACGGATAGACCAATCAGAGAGCTTCAAATCAGCACAACCAGGTTCTCAAAGTACCATCTGCACCAATCAACACTAACTTTTGAAAGGATTTTGCAGTACATATCACCAACTCTGCGAAGGGATCATTTAATGCTAAATTGGTTCAGATTGACAGCCGTTGATTGGACAGCAGTCTACACACAC